TTCAAAGTTATCACCGGCGATTGACTCCACAGAGGAGAGTCAGCTCTGAAAAGAGTTCACCGTAGATTGAAGTGAGTCCAGTGAAGTCCAATGTATTGGTTTGATTGCTTCCTTAATAAGTAGGGACACGTCTTCCCTGAGGGATGTCCTCTGTTTTGCAAATTGTGCCAACAGGTGATCCATCATAATTCCAGCGACAGCGGCGGGCTCACCAGGTGTAGCTTGAGTCAAAGGGATGCTAGCTGAAAATGAAGCTAACTTCCCTGCAGCACGAGTAGCCGGAGTTTGAGCCCCTGTGGTTAATATAGAATTCTTAGAACTGCTCATTTTGGGAGATAAAGTCTTAATACAACCCAATGTTGATAAGTCGAAAATGAAAAGTAAGGGTTGATGAAATAGGAAGGAAATACAAGATTAACCGGGAGCCCTCTCGCTTGCGTCCTCTCACTACATCGCATGACTGGAAGTCCTAAGTTCATGTTTTTAATGTCTTAAGTCTAGAGCACATTCCACTTTACTGTGAAAAGTTAAAACAACTTTGGTTCACTAGCTCCTCATTGTATGCTATAGGCTAATTTGTTACAAGGGAATTGTTTATTACAAGGTCTTTCAGACCTTTGATCTGTTGTAGAACTTGAATAACAGGTTTGCGATCCCCTACTTTAAAATGATTTTTATTCTGTCTGGTTTAGTGTTGGTTGAATGAAAAAGGTATTGGTAATCTGGTACCTGCTGATAAATAGCATGACAAGCTGATGGAGTGTTTCCTCTTAAGAAGCAGAACTAGATGAGGGTTTCAACATCCAGGGCCATCAGCGTGACTTGTAAACCACACTTTAACTGCTGACACTAAGAGTTTTGTATATTTAGGCTACATTCTTACTGCAGGCAAATGCAGGCATAGTGGATTTTTTTCATGATAGTCTGAACATGACAAGGATTTTTTCAAAGCTGGCCCAGACCTTTTCAGTATGAGGCACTGAATTGGATACATATCTGATTTTTTTTCAAAGCCACTGCAATTTGAATGTCATCCGCCTTTCATATCTATGAGGTGGGGCGAGCAGATCAGTCCATAATGACACTAACATCGAATCATGCCATTTATATCTTGTGATTCCACACATCTTCAACTACAGGAGTCCAGTTGCTTTGTCTTTGTTCTTTTAATTTTCTATATCCTGAATGACTGAGGATCCACAAAAACATATGATAGTAACTATGATAGTAATGGTCCCTGACCAACAATGTTGGTTGGGGACCACATTCATACTAAAGTTACTTGATGGATACTTGTCTTTTAACATGTCGCTTCGAACGTGACCCAGGACACGCTGGAGGGACTATGTTTCTCAGCTGGCCTGGGAACGCCTTGGGATTCCCCCGGATGAGCAGGCCCAAGTGACTGGGGAGAGGGAAGTCTGGGTCTCTCTGCTTAGGCTGCTGCCCTGATGACCCGATCTTGGATAAGCGGCAGAAAACGGACGGATGGACGTCACTTCGTTCAAAAAATAAAATGCTGCGCTGGAGCATGCAGTCAGAGTTCAGATGTAAACACTGAACTTAACAAGCATGTCAGATAAATATTTAATCAACTCTGATTGAACAACAACTTCAGAATTGACTAACAAGTAGCATCCATGTTTAGCTAATTCTGTAAACAGCAAGCTGAATGTGACATCACGTCATCTTCTGTGCATGCGGGCCTCATCATGGCTCTGTAGAGTTAATACAGGAGTCTGACTGAGGTCGCATTCCAAATATAATGTGAATGTCCACACAAAAAATATCTGATTTTTTTTCCCAAAAAAATGAGGATTGAGCATTAGGACYGTGAACATAGCCTTAAGATGTGGATCTGGGTGAAAGGATTCACCAGGACCCGTCTGTGAAAAACTACCTCAGGTTTGTTCCAGTTGAAGCAGTTGTGTTTGTAGTGCTTGACTGTAGCCTTGTAGCACTGATGCTGGAAGAGGTCAGCTCTTTCATCGAGGACCTCCTCAGCCTTTAACTTGCTGCCAGTCACCTTCTCGACCACACGGCGCATAGTGTCAGCCAGCCTCTCCCTGATCTAAACAAACACACAGGTTCACACAGAGATCTGTCAGATAAAATCACAAATCATGTGCTTTGTGCACTTGATTTAATACATTTTTTATGGTAAAGCTTTAACAGCCATTGGCACAAGATCAGCACTGTAACAAACTTTAGAAGACCTTAAGATGGTTGTTTATCTCGGTCATCAGGGTCCTTGCAACTGTGATGTCATTGGTTGACATCAGTTTCCTTTTCATKATGGCCAGAGGAACGTCGGGGCTCGGGGTCAGATCCAAATTAGTTTTCAGTGGTGGGGTCACCTGAGGAGCAGGTGGGCTGTATACTTTGGGCGTACCCTGAAACTGTATGAGCTTCATGTGTGCCAAAGTCTGCAGACAAAATAGGAAACAAAGGAAAGAAATGAAACTTTTTCCTGCACCGTCACTGCTAACAGGCTCTACACTTGAAATAAACAACACTGTACACATGWACAAAAAAATCACGATGAAGCTGACAATAAAAAAATCATGGGGAAAAAAAAAAGAATTCGTCTTCACCTTGTTGCCGAACTGCTGGACGTGGCTAGTGTTTGTTTCAGACTTCACAATCTTGAACTGCTTCTGCAAAGTTTCTTTTGACAGGTCCTCCTGCAAGACCAACAAAAAATAAATAAAAACGAGCAACAAAGTATTTCTGAAAAAGCTGCAACAGAAAGACACAATTTATTATGTTCCTAATTTTCACAGACTAAAAAGCATAAAGCAGTATTTATGTGAATGCTGRCTATTTACACTGTTACAATTTTAGTCATTCACAAATTAAAACATTCAGCTCATTCAGATGAGTGATGTGATTTTTTGTTTTTTGTAATTTTTATACTTTTCAAAATATTTAACTTTATTACAAATCTTCAACATTTTCCCATAAAAATATTATTCTCTTTGAAATCTGTTTCAGCTCATGCTCTGGTTTTGACTTTTTACTCTACTTTTAACTTTCTGCTTGAGTTCACCTACTTTTAACTTGCATTTAGCTACTTTTAGGTAAGCATTTTTAGCTTTAAGCTAGGCTATTAATCTTTCAGCAGGTGCTTTACTTGTTTTAGATTTAGATACTAATCAGTTAAGTTTCCAGATAGTGTTCTGATTCTTTTAGCTATCTTTTAGCAAATTCAACTCTTTTAGATACAAGAACTCAGTTTAAGTTTTCAGCGTTTTCACAGAAAATCTAATTTCTTCACTTTCATTTAATGTTTGTGTTCAACTCAAAGTTTATTCTGCTTGTTGAAACAAACAGCAGCTGCTTTTAGAAATATTCAGCACTTCCTTTGTCAGCCTGCCTCACACCTTGTGTTTCAAACAGAAAAATAACGTTTTACGAACAGCATATCATTTTACTGTAGTTGAAGTCCGAAACGGAAAAAAACAAACACGTAATTTAGAGTAAAAAAATATATATATCAAAACTCAAATATGATTGTGATTCCAGTTGCAGATCACCGGTAAGTTTAGTGAAAAAAGAAAAAGTGCAATCTTAATTAAAAGTAACAGCTTGATTTTATGACTACGTAATAAAATTTTATTTAATTTGAAAGAAATCAGACACCTTCTCCACTTTCCAACCTTTTTTTAATCTGATGAATGTTAGCTAAAAAATTAAGTTTCATAAAATCTGAACCTCGCGTCCTGAAGTGAGTTTAATGACACATAATAAAATATTACCGTAGTTATTGGAAAATATACCTTTGAAATGTCAAACCATTCATCCTTCATCCTGTCAAAACCTGCAGCAGAATTTGATCATTTTGGTAACTAGACCTGTGTCAAAAATAGACAACAAAATTATATTTGGATTCAGTTTTTTAAATATTAAGATGKGCTTTTTGTTTAATTTTGTAAGCATACTTTTGTATAGTTTTGGTGTGAATACTGTAAATGATTTTTATTGTTTTAAAAATATTTGGGACATTTGGATGGGACTGGTCAGACACTCAGAGCCTGTGTTATATTTTTGAAATGATTTGCCTGATGAAAGTCTAGTTACATCTAATTTCTGCCACATAGTTTGACAACAGTGTGACAGGACTTGTGCTGTGTTTTAAATGCATTTGTCGTTTTCTTATTTGTCGTTTTCTTATGCTCTTGCATTATCAGCTCCGAAGTGGCTTACAGGTACAAAGTACCAACACATTTTCATCCAGAGCTTACCCAAATTTTTTATATTGATTTGCTCACAAACCTGCCACTTTTTTCATACTCAGATGTTTTTAGGCCAGTCTTGAATAYTTGTTATGATTTAATAACAATACACCTTATCAGAGTCCTCCATCCAGTTCACACTGTACCAGTCGCCCAGGTAAGTGTCCCTCTTTTCATCATAGTAGCAAGCGTATGAGGACTCATGAGCGTTGGCTGCAGTGGTGGCATACACTGAAAAACACAGACATTCTCATGATAATCTATGAAACCAGATAAGACAGAAATTAAGTTCTTTAAAAACCTTGAAAAAGTTTAGACGATAAGACATTAAAACCCAAATATAGAGCTGCTGTATATTTAAATTTAAGTTATCATGGCTACAAATGAATCAGTGGTTCTGGAGGACAAGTGTTCCAGCTAATAGAGGTGCCACCTTAAAWCAGAAACAAGTGGTTACCCTGATCATGGTCGAGGTGGGCTCATCTGGGGCCTCATGTATAAAAGWGTAYGCAGCTTTCATACTGAAAGTTGGCATAGGGACAAATTTTGAAAATGCACTGCACAAAAAAATTCAGAGGCGATTGCTCTGAGACTGCAAGGGAAGCTCAGCTTCCCCTAAAATGTAAAAAAAAAATAGATCAAATATATACTATTGTGTGTACATGCCTTTGACTAAATATGCGCTACAACGCGCTCAACTTTTGTTCAGAATGAGCTTCTTATCACTGGTAACAACGCGGCTTTCCTCATTTCACTCATTCCCGTAGCTTCACAGTGCTTTAAACAGTCGAACGCTGAGCGTCCACAGAGCTCATTAGCGATGCAAAGACTGCAGTAAAATGAGACGAGTCATTGGATAAATGCTGGCTTTGTCCCGCCCATCGGACGCTGAGCGTCTCTGGGGGTCTATGGAGCAGTGGGCTGGGTCGGACGCTCAGATTCTGCATGATGATTGGATGATCTGTCGGAGGCTGAATCCCTTTTTGATTGACAGCAAAATGAACGAATCAGCGATCTCTAGTGTAAACATGCATGGGAGCAGTTTTACTTTCATTTCTGTTCGGAGTTGAATCGGAGGCAGCATTTTCTTTGTTAAAAACGACTAGCGACAAATCGAGCTTCTATTTCTGGTGGTTGTTTTGTACAGTAGATGCTTGTGTTTGGAGACAGAGTTCTATCACTCTTTCTGACTTCTATCGCAGTTTCTGTGCAGCGGCTGCTGCTGAGTCCCTCCACCGTCACAAAGCACTCACAGGCCGACACACTTCACTCTAGCCTCGCGCCAGTAACAAGCTGCACATAATAGCAGTTTGAATGTTGTGGACCGGATTTTGGAGATGCCATTTGATACAGTCTTGTTTATAAAGAAAAACTTAGAATTAAACAGCAGGGCTGGTCAACTAGATTAATTTGGTGCAAAAGGTGGGGAAAAGTAAGATTTTTTTTTTATTGATCCCACAGTGGGGGACATAACAGGTCTTTTCAGCTGTCCTGGTTTGACAAAGTGAGCTGGCTGCAGTAAAAGACTATAGAATAAGCTGAAAAATGATTATAAAAGCATTGGATCAATTAATTACTTTAAAATAATCATCAAAGCAAAATTGTCAAAGAAATATGAAATTGTTTAATTTGTATG